GCTTCATACGAACATAAGCACAAAAAATTTCATCAAGATTTAATTATTTCCTGGTTGAAGTGGATTGATAGGCGAAACGACCAAAAATATATCTTGTAAAAACAAATCAGATCATAATGATTTTTTTTTTAAAAAAAAAAGACTACAAAACACGATACAACCAAAGCATAAGACTCTACTCTACAAACCTAGCGCCAAGCTCTTAAAAAAAAGATGACAAAAAACCATTGACCCATAACAACGAACAACAAAAAACACCAATTGAATGGAAAAGCAATGAAACAAAAATCGATGCAATGGATAGCCATAAAAAGTAAGCATACTCAAATATGTAGTAGAATCTAAATATGTAAAAATAAATCAGAAAATAATGATATTTTTTAAAAGATATCGAATGCGAGCATTCCTAATAGCTCTAAAATAGCAAATAGGATAATCACACGAAGCAAAAAACTATGAAAGAAACGAATGTCGAAGAAACACACCAAAGGTAAGGTATCGAAAGGAACGATGACGGAAAAAATAATGCATTTTGAAAAAGTGTTAAACAACAATGTTGGTGCAAAGACAAAGAGAAGGAGGGTAACGAAAAAGAAACAAAGTAGTTCAAACATCATATTGCAAACAAAAAGCGATCAATCACAAACATTATAAATAGCTTATCCATGAGCTGCAAAATCAAACCAAGTCTGTGTTGCACAACAAACTTTTTAGAACTATAAAATTAATATAGTCCATATACATGGTAGTTCAAAAGTGATGCAACTATGTTCTAGCGGTAAGTTTAAAGCAATATGGCAAAAAATATTTAAGAGCATGTGTAAAATATAAATCTTTTTCGCTGTGATTAGGCTTTAGAGGAAAAAAAAAAACAACTACAACAAATCAATGACCTAATAATAATCGACCTCAAACATGATATTTATATGGAGAAGTTCTTAGTCATCAAAGAATGGTATGTATCGAAAGTGAAAACTATAAAATCATTGTCGTACACATGGCTTCCAATACCCGATGTATAGGAATCCACAAATTAGATAATTATGGCTTGAAGGAATCCACTCTTAAAGGACCTCAACAAACACTCATCAACTCGACTAATCAAATAAAATTTATTTCTATGTTTGATAAATGAGACATAAAAATATTGACATGACAAAGTAAAGCAAGAACATACATAAGAACAAAAGAAAAGCAAAAATAGAGTAGCATAATTTTTTTTTATACCCTAAGAAAAAAAACAACATGGAAAAATTATTAGCGAAATAAGAAAACATACCTAGAAGAGTAAAGAGAAGCACGCCAATGCAATTAAGAGTAGCTATAACAAAAACGTTGCAAGACGAACATCAAAAAAGAAAAAAAAGAAAGAAAAACAAAATACAATTAAGAAGAGCAAAAACAACAACTAAAAGAACCATACCAAAATAACTACAAAAAAAAAGGCTAAAAGGACCAAAGCTCTCGTGAACTTTATTTTATTTGAAAATCAAATCTAAACTTTTAATTTATGTTTTAACCTTGTTAAATTTTATTTTATTTATTTATTTATTGAGATTTAGCCCATCCTTCGAGTTTTCTATCATTTATCTAAAACAAATCAGAATTATATAAATAGTTTCATGACAGAAATTGTTTAGTGAAATTTATCTAGAGCTCTTAAAAAATCTAGAATCATTCTAGGTTTTTTTTTCTTAATTTTTTTGCATTTTTAATGTTGAAAAAATAAAAAAATATAATTCCCAACCTTGAAATTTTCTAGAATTTTTTCTAAAAAAACAAATTAGATTTCTCAACGTGTGTGTAAAATTTTAAATCAAAATATCAAGCATTGAATTTTTTAAAAGAGATTGGTGATAATTGAAAATCATAAAAAGGACTAAATTTAAAAAAAGAAAAGAAAAAGAAAAAAATTGAAGAGGGTTAAAACATAAATTTAAAATTTAGGGACTGATTTTTAAATGAACTAAGGTTTACAAAAAGTTTGACCTTTATATAGATATATATAAGCAGAAAGAATCCATAAACAAAAAATGTAAAATATTAGACAAAAAGAGCTAGTTATGACTACTGCAAACTCATAATAACATGTGTTTCAAACAGCACCTTTGCAAGAAAAGCTCTCTTTTTGAAAAGAATAGCATTGGAAGCAAAGGCTCTGAAAAATGTTATTAGACGCAAAACCATTAATGGAGGCGGAAACTATACTACACAAATAGATACTAACCGTTGCACAGACAATAGAAGTTGCACACAAAACATCTAAGATCGAGCAAAACAAAAAGCGAAAATAAACTTGAAAAACTAACACAACATGTAAAAAATTTACATGCATGTCAAGGAAACTTAAAAAGCAATAGGAAAGGCAGCAGAAAAACACAGAAAGCTGAGGGATAAAACAAAGAGAAGACCTTTCTCACCAAAAGAAGAAGAACATAGATACAGTTGAATAAAACATCCACAAAATAGAAACAATTCTCTACAAAGAAGAAACAAAAAAGGAAGGTAGAAGATAACGGGCACCAACAGTAAAGATCATTACAATCAAAGGGTAGAAAAGTAGAAACTGGCTGCCTAATCAAAGAGCCACAATAGATCAACAAAATTAATCAATCACCATGAAAAGCAAACACACACTATATATTTAAACTCCTTTAAGTCTTTTTGTTTTTACTAATAAAAGTTAAAAAATCAAGAATTATTATAATGTCGCAACCCGAGGAAAGGCTCTGCTTTAACTTCAATATCAATTTTAAACATTGAAATCCTGCGTTGTGACTACAAATTAAGATAGATATATATATAGAAACATTAAGAGAATTATTATATGATCCTATTCTTTCTTCTTCTTCTTCTTCTTCTTCTTTTTTTAATTAGATCTTCATTTTTATTTGAAAATTTAAGTAATTACCATAAGTCAAATAGTCAACAAAAGTCGGTTGAATCCACTTTCCAAAAGATCATTATTATTATTAACGTGTCAGGATCGAATTGGATTTGCTGTTGTTTGTCGAACGGTTATAATTGGATCTTGATGATCTTTTCACTTTGCTCAATTCCCATCCATAAATAGAGTTGGGACTTAAATTTGGAGTTTTTTAAGATAAAGATCTAAAACTGAAACCGAGGATTGGGTATATTATTGACAGTGGCCAGCTTTGCCCTAAGAAATCATGGATTTGGAAGCCTAATTAATGGAGCACATGAACCCACTTTTGTTAAACAAACATAATATATTGAATAACAAGGTAAACTTAAAAATACTTTATTTTTGGTGACATCCTCCGTGGATGATGTAAAAACCTACAAAAGTAGATTATTTGTATTCCAAAAGGGGCATGTAATTACGTTTTCCCAGGAACCTAAAAATAGCAGATTTTGGCAGCTGATCATGATATTATATAAGACTAAAGTAGTAGTACTACTACACTAATAATCTTGTAGCATAGATCATAGCATGCCGTAAACAGATAGGACCATGTTACAGTAGAAGCAGCTTGACTTACATATTATTGGGATACAATGCCTCCACGTGGCATTCCCTGAACCTCATGCTTTAGAATCTGGAAAAAGCCAGTGTGTGCTTTTCCCGGTAACTCCTGTAGCAGGGCGCATGGAAGCCACTTTGCCATTTTGTATGCAACAGAACACTGTAATTCATAACAAGTCTCTCCCTCTCTATCTCTCTAAAAGTAAAGTCCAAACGCACTCAACCGTCTTGCTTTGTTTAGAAAGTGCCTAGTACTACTTGTGCTTCATAGGATCAGGAATAGAAAGTTACTTCTTTCAGGGATTTAAGAGGCTGTTAGGTATGTGGGTTTCCAAATTTTTATTTTATTTTCTTTCTTTTTCTTTTTTTCATTCTTGCGTTTCTCTCAATTTTGATTAATTCTTTTAGCTCTAAGTAGAGTTTGTTTGAATTTTGATGGTATGTAAGTCTCTCCCAGTTCTTTCATTCATACATTAAGTACTAAAGGCTTCTTGTTTTGATGATGATTGTGTGATTTTTAAATTCCTCTTTTGCTGATGCATTTATCTAATCTTGTAGATGACATATATGATTCTTTTCTTATGTTATTCCTTTGCTTTTTTATTTTGGAAGAAAGTTTGTACTGAGATCCAAATCATATGTTGTAAGTTCTTTGTATACCAAGCAATGCTTGAGTTATCCTGCTAGGGTTTTCTTGAAAGGGAGTGAAGAAGTTCACCTAGCTCCACTGCTTGTTCTGTTGAGTAAGCTCGCCGTTGCAACCGAAAATATATATATATATATATATATATATATATATATACTTTGGTTTTGAATCAAATTCTACTTAGTCAATGTAATTTTACGTGACTTGAGAGTGGATTAATTTTCATTAATTTACAAACTGGACTAATAATTTCTGATCCTGTAAGTGATAGGATAAATGCTTTGAAGCTCCGAGACAGTCTTATTGGGAACTGATAGCATCCATAGTAATTTTGATACAAACATTATCTCTATGTCATCTACTAGGTGGCTTGTAGTTCAGATTAGTACTAAGATATGAAATTGCCAATATCAGTAAGGCTGCTTGACATTTTATAGGAGCGTTACTGGAGTTGATGGAACAGTGATGAGTACAGCTGGAGTTCATTTGGGTTTATACAGTTTTGTTTCTCTAAAGAAATGGTAGAACATTATTGAAGCATCTTTTCCATAAATGACATGGATTTATCGACTCTACAAACAGTAGCTTACCCTTCATTCTTTTGTACGTATAATTAATGAGTATTTAGTCCTCTATGAATGTACCAAATCCAATTTCATTTTGAAATGACATTATTTGCACTAACTTTTCCGTAAAATTTTATCTCATGCCTTATCTTTAATTGTTGCCTCTCGACAGTGCATATTAATATGTACTGACTTTATTGCTTTGTGTAGACAGAGTCATGTTTTGCACCATGGAGAAGTCTGACCTGGACCTCATTGGCATTTCAGGATTGCCCACTGAAGAGTTCATCCAGCAAAGATGAATACAGATGATAAAAACATAGAACCTGTGACTGATTTAGGACTTGACCTGGGTTATTCCAATCAGTGCATTCAGAGAAGATTGAAGAATGATTCAGGTGCAGGTGCAAATGCAGGTTCAAGTGTAGACAAGACATTTGTGGCCACCAATGCCCTGTCGGAACTAGTTTGGTCTCCACAGAAAGGTTTGAGTCTTAAATGCGCTGATGGCAGCTTCTCTGACATAAAACCCTCTCTGTTACGGGGTGCAGGACCAATTAATATGGTTAGTGGATCGAGTACTGACAAACCGGGCAGTAAAGAATATTTCATGACATCTCTGGGTGAATCTGATGTGAGGAATGAAGTTGCTGGAAGAGGCAATTCCAAAAAGTTGGTTACTGGTGTTACAAGTATGTTTCCGTCAAGTGAATCAAGACAGGCTAACAAAATAGGTAACTATGAATTCCTTGCAGGTATAATGTATTATGTATTGGTGAACGCCAACCTATAAAAATTCCTATCTAGTACATGATGAAACCTGTCTTGATCGAATTACTGAAAAGCTCTCGTTTTGGCAGCAACTGTTGATCACGAGGAGGAAGTGGACACAGCAGTGGGGCTATCTTTTTTGCAGAAAAAGGAGGATCTAAGAAACAGTAGAGCAGAAGATATAAATGATCCTATGAATCTTCAAGTAGATGAAATCTCTGGGACCAGAGAAAACAAGATTCCAAGTTTGCTAGGTGCTTGATGCTATCTTCTCAACTTGGTTTGGTACCATGCTAAAATAAACATCCAGATAACCATGCAGCCCTTTTTACTGGAGGGTTCAAAACACTTGATTATTAGAAATTACTTTATTTGTACTGTTTTGCATATTGATTAAATAAGTGCCCTATACTTGTGAGAGGCAAAAAGATTCTAGATAGTCCCTAATTTAATTGCAGCGTGGAGCCTCAAACATTTTAGTCAAATATTCTTCATGAGTGATTTCTCAATCTGCTTGCTTTATATTTTATCATGTTTTGTTGTTTTTTTTTTTTTGGTGTCTGAAGGTACTGTTTTTCATGCTTTGATATCCTCATTCCTGACAGGACACTGACTTCTTCATTTTTTCAATTTGAATAGATGAACCGAAACTGGATGTGGCACAGAATGATCCTACTTCGGAGGAACCTTTTGTCAGATTTAGAGGTGTTGGTGATGGGAGTCACACATCGCAGACAGAAATTGCTTCGGCCTCACAAGTTCAATCTGTGAGAGAGTGTGAATTTAATGATGCTAAAATGGAGAAAGCACCATCCTCAGGAAGAGAACATTTTGAGTCACCTTCATGCATGGAAAAAGAGAGAGAAAATAAGGTGGAAAGGGATCCCTACATCTGTCCTCTGGAAAAAATGGAGTCAACTGCAGAGAATGATTTAAAACCTCCACGTGGTGAGAATGTCTGTGATGTGGCAACTAAGATCGTGGGATCAAAATCTGCCCAGGAAGTCCAAAATAGCTGTCGGCAGGATGATAAGATACTTTCCAGAGACAATAATCATTGGAATAAACAGTCTCCCACAAACAGCAGAACCCGAAGGTATCAGATGAAAGGCAAGGCTAAGGCTTTATCTGATGGAAATTTAAATGAAAGAGTGCTGGATATGCAGGATGACAGCCATGAAAGTGTTGAAAGTTGCAACAGTGCTGGGTTATTTTCGACTGGCAAAAAGCGACGGAACTTTGACCCAGAGTCGTGTGTTGGGAGCAAAAGTGTCAAAACAAAAATTCAAGAAAGTCCCGGTTCCTCTTCATTTGTTAAACAAGATAGTTCATTCATGATTTGGATCTCAAACATGATGAAGGGTTTCTTAAAATCAAAAGAAGATGAGGCACCACCTCTTGCTCTTACCCTTGGAAATTATAATCATAAACATAAGAATCGTGACAAGAATCTCTCTCCCTGTAATAGAAACCAAGATCAAGAGTGCAAGACTATGGGATTTCAATCCATTTTTCAGTCATTGTATTGTCCAAAGACAAAGGCTCAAGAAACGGTCGCTTTTAACACCAATAATCAAACCAAGGGATCTAAACAACTTGAGCTAGACAACATGATCTGTGACAGTAATGCTACTCCAATAGCCTGTTGCATGGCGACTGACACCGTGTACAAACGGTTTATTCAATCGAATGACGATTTAAATGAGTCGAGAACTAGCAATGGTGTAGCTCCAGCGGCCCTGACCAAACTTTTGTCCACGAATACTGCTTCCAGTCAGGAAATCAACAGGAAAAACTCTGCAGAGAATAAAATTTTATGCAACTTGGCAACAGATGAGGAGAAGGATGGGACGAGCTCCAATTCCTCTCTGCGTAAGCACAAGAGGAACAGTGCTGAGAACATCGATGCTGAACTAACATCTGAAGGCAAGGCAGCAAATAATTCCAGCTACAAAAGTGACCCACTCACAAGCTGGTGGATCACTCGTTTTACTCCAAAAACTCCTGGTCCCTTGTCAAACCGGGATCTTTGCACCAGAAATACTGGCGAAGCACTTTATGGCTCCTCTGATAGCATGAGGCTGAAGGCTCAATGGCAGAACCATCCTACTTCTTTCCATGATCATATTGTGGGGGCCTGGGAGGAGGAGCACTCCACTGAGGACCCAGTATACATGCAAAATTGTGCTGACAGTACTGAAGTTTCATTTGGCATCAGTAAGGTAAATGAACACCATGATGAGAAGTCCATATGTAAACTGAATTCTATCTTGCCTTGTTCAAGATACAGACATACAGAGGCAATAGCTTCTGTTTTTGCAAGGAGATTGGATGCCCTCAGGCACATCATGCCGTCACATGCAACCGATGATTCTGCTAATGGAAGCCTGACATGTTTCTTTTGTGGCGTAAAAGGTCACCATGTGCGAGATTGTCCAGAGATAACAGATAGTGAGCTTGAAGATCTTCTAAGAAATGCTAATTCATATAACGGAGCAAAAGAATTGCATTGTGTTTGCATAAGATGTTTCCAGTCAAATCATTGGGCCGTTGCATGTCCTAATGCCTCTTCAAGAACAAGACATCAGGCAGAATATGGCGAGTATAGTCAATTAGAAGCTGCTGATGCGCCTACAGTTTGCAGTGGGAAATTGAATGAAGCTTTTGCCTCTGGGACAATGAATTTGAATATGAAACTGTGTGAGGAAGATATTGCTTCAAGTTCTGGGAAAAAGATGTTAAGAGAAAACCAGGTTACGCCTTTGAGCAATTTTGTCGATAGCCAGATATCAGACTTACCCAAGGGAATTTTTTATGCAGTAAAAAGGCTTCGTTTATCTCGAACAGTTATTCTCAAGTAAGTAGATCATTACCAACTAACCTGTCATTCTCGCTTTTATTTATTTGTTTATTTTTTCGAGATCTTTCTTAAATAACTGCCATGCATTAATCTTCTGTTTGAGGCATCATATACAAACAGATAACTTGCAGGTTGTTTTTAACTGTGGTTGAGCTTTTGTTTAGTTCAATTTGAAAGTATGGCTTGTTTAGACCTGTAATAGGCAGTGTTCATCACAGCATCATGTTTACTGTTGGAGTTGGGAAGGCATGCTTCTGGGTTCCAGCATCCGACTTATTTTCTTAATAAGATAAACTAAGTCTGAAGTAGAAATTTGTATGCCTATCAATTTTGTAGAAGAATTAGTAAAATGCTGATGAGGACATTAAAGCGTCATTTGCCTAAAGATGAATTGAGTATGACAAATTTTTAAACAAAATTCATGAGTTGCTAATTTTGAAATGCATTGGCTTGAACATCTCTCTTAGTGGTCTGTCCATGTTATTTTGTCTAGTCATCTTCTGCTACTGTCTCCTCATATTACTTATGGCTGATGATTTTAGCATTGGCTCCCACCTTGAAATCAATTTTTTCTCAATTTTTCATTTGCATGTCTTTAAAGCTTGTTTCTGCAACATAGTTTTATGGTAGAGTCCGACCTTGTGGCAAGAAGATGGCATTTAGATAACCGTGTTGCCTTTTTGCTTCTGATCAAATTGTAATCTGTCTGTAGTGTTGGTCAGGACAATTGAAGGATGACCTCTTCCTTCTTGTTAGCTTCAGCAATTTTTGAACTTGAATTGAAATTTGAGTGACCTTCTAGGAACATTAATTTGAAGGAACGTGTAGTGAGGAGCTCAGGATAGTGACTATGAGAATCCTATAAATAGAGGTTTTATGAGGTAACCTATTTTACAACTTATGCGGCGAATTCCAGGATTAAAACCAAGAACTGAATGTATTAGATGTTGCATAGGTGAAGCATAGTGAAGAAAAAGGCGAAATAATTAAGGCCGGGGAAGAGAGCATGTCAGAAGCAAAAGAAGAATGATAAGACATATACTGAGAGTACCAGCCTGCTTAAATCATTATAGTGCTTCTGCTACAGTACTTTCTTTCATAGTTTGAATTGCCATGACGGCCTTCTGCCTATGTTAGGGCTCTACTTGATATACCACATAATCAATATCATTAGGGAGTAAATTTTAGTAGCTTTTTATTCCTCTTCTCTTTCCATGTACAACGTTGGTTTAACAAAGAAGAGTGATTGTCTGGTCATGAATATGTTTGTGGCTCTTTATGATAACAAGTCATGGAGACGTTTTGTTCTTGAACCTAAACTAATTATGTTTGTGCACATTTAAACTACACTGCAATTGATGGCTTAGTATTATGATTTTATCTTTAATATTCGTAACCGAGCTATTGTGTTCGGAGAGATGCATGGACCTGCATACATGAGGGCTTACACACAATGATGGCCACCACACCACTTTCAATCCAAAAGTCTAGATTAATGGATTACGAGTCCATCTTATATGCATAAGAACCTCTCTTTTTCCAATCCTTTTCAATGTGGGATATTTATCACTAGCATATGCATCCAAAAATATTCATCAAATCCTTGGGAACTTTTATTTTATCAGAAATTGTTGTCTTTAAATCTTTCATCTGTTTACTGATATGTTCTGTGCTGCATGCGGGGGCACCAGATGGATGAATTGTCATACCCCACTCTCTCAACTAGATGGCTTTTTCTTGCGCTTGCGGCTTGGGAAGAGAGAACAAGGACTAGGGGGACTGGATATTATGTAGCCTGCATAACTGGTGAGCCAAAATTGTTTACCCTGTCGCATATCTATGATAGGTAGATTAGTTGCATTTGTCATTACTTAGCTTCCTTTTTTGCCTTTGTAATTACTTGCACTTGATCATACAGGAGTTGGAAGTGAGACTTCAACACAGAAGTCCAAAAATTCAATTGCTGTCAATGTACATGGAGTCAAATGTTTAGTCGAAAGTCAATATATCTCCAACCACGATTTCACTGAGGTAAAATTATGATTCAGACAACGAATTTGTGTTTTATGTAATCTAGTGATTTCAATTCGAACTTTGATCTATAAATTTTGATCCGTGTTGCATTGAAATGATCTCCTTCATTGATGATTTATATATCGAATCTGCAATTGCTTGATGTAATCTTATCGTGAAGACGATATGAATTTTCAATGTTATGCTACTAGACATTCTCACCTAATGTAGTCTCGCACCTTCACAATCATCTACGAACCCTTCAAATACAGCAAACCTGTTGGTTGTTAGGAGAAGAAGACAACGACTCTGAATTTTTGAAAATATTATCGTTATATAATGACCTTCGGATTCTGCTTTCATGTTTTGGATTGAGCTCACATTCCTGCCCTTATCAGTTGCGAAGTTATGTAACCATACCAAAGAAAATATGGTAAAAAATACCAACCACTGCCCTGATGTTGTTTCAAATACATTTTAGGAACATTGATCGGTCATCGTTTCTTGTTTTCATAGGAACATTGGAAGTTCATCCAGGTAATATATATATATATCGATAAGGTCAGGGTGGGAGACGTGTCACACTAACTTATACCTAGGAAAAAAACTAATCCTACTGGCATTTTCTACTTTTGAAAGTGGTGGTTAAACCTGTTTCATGCATTTTGCAGGATGAGCTAATAGAGTGGTGGTGCAAAACCTTGAAGGGCGGTGTCAACAGACCTTCTGAAGAAGATTTAAGATTGAAAGTTAAAGAGAGGACAATGTTAGGATTGTAGAGAGAAATAAATTCAGCTGCTGCTTGCAAAAATGCTAAAAAAGTGAGAACTGAGGCTGAAGTGAGCTGTGTTCCCTTTGCACATATAAAGTTCTGATTTATTTTTTATATTTATTTTTTCTTTTCTTTTCTTTTTTTCCCTTATCAATATTGCCGTCTATCTTAAATTTTTAAACACCCACAGTGGGCTGAGATCGAAAGACTATGTTTGCTAAGGTTTTTTTCAGACGAATAAAATTTTATGATATCAGAACAACGTGATGCCTTAAAACTTTGCGTATGTTCAATCAACAATCACAAGATACAATCTTTAATAGGTTGTTCTATTTTAATAAACACGACGATAATGTTGTCAGTTTACAGATATTCAAATCCTCATTCATTTCTAAACATAAAACAAATTTATCAAATAAGTTATCCGATCAATCTGATTAGGGTTCAAGTGTTTTCCAGATTGTCTTTATCCAAATGAGCTGAAATTTTATCATAATCCACTCAACATACGATAGTAGATGTATGTAAAAATTCAGATCAACCTAAATTTAGATTAAACTAAGTTTCCTAAGGCTTTACATAGGTCAGACAAATTTTTGCATTTTAATTTGTCTCTGCACTGTCTGAAATTTCAGCAAAGTATTTGAATTTGTACACTCCTTAAATCAATTTCAAATAATCTCAAATTTTATACACAACCACAAGAGGTCTGGTAGAGTGTATTTGCAAAGTTTTAGGCCTAATAGATAATCCTAACCCTTCCAACGCACATGTATTTTGACAACAACTTCTAGGAATTATATTAGTTTAGTTCATGCAATTCAAACTATTGTTGTTGTAAAATCATGCAAGTTCGATTAATTAGCCCTAAAACCAGTCCCAAGTCCCCAAATCAATGGAGAGCAAAAGACACTTACGGAATAACATGCTAAAAGTCTTGAAACCACAATCCCAAGCTCTTACCCGCAAGGATCTAAACCTATCTTAGTCGATCACTCTAAGGATGTGCTCCAAGTAATCCTAGTCTAGTTCAAGCTAAGAAAAATATTAGAATATTTAAAAGAATAATTTTGATTTATTACTTTCAAAGTCGACGTAAAGCTTATCGAATATTTCGGCTAAGAGCCCTTACAAAAATGCATGAAAGTTGTTTAAATACTCAATCCTAAATCCTAGGAGTTTTGGCTAGGGTAGAATTTCTCCTCCATCGGTCGGACCTCACTTTCCTAAATAGAATGGATTTATGAAATCAATATTTAATTAGGACTTATTCTTACTTATCTCAAATAAATATAGGTCCACATATTACAAGGACTCATTAAAAAGTTTTTTTCTAAAAAATAGGAATCCACAAAACATAAGGATTCTCAATCCTTTAATAGCCAACTACCTTCCTAGATTTTAGGAAATAATTAATCAATGAAGAATTAATAATTTTAGCTCAAATCTAATACGTAAAATAAAACTCAAATAATCAAAATCTAATCCATATAGACATTAAATAAACAAAGTATAAAAATTAAAACATAAGAGCCTAATACTCTCGGCGTAAAGCATTCGAGTATGGTGAAGGAGGTGACACTCATGTGTCATACCCTCCTAATTGGAGAAGAGTTGACCTCGACGTCTTGATCTTCAACTTCTTCCCCGACATATGGAGAAATATTTGCTAATTTAAAGGAATCCAAAACATTATAGTCTCTAGGTAAGTCCACGTTATAAGTATTGTCATTGATCTTAATATCTATCCAAAAAAGTCCATCGAGCATGAGCTTAAGCTTGGCATGCAGCCCCTTTGGAATCTTTCCTTCCTTAAGTGCATCCATAATAGATGTCTCACCTCAAAAACTTGTTTCCTTCTACTTTAGTTAGCTTGATCTTTATACTTCTCATTTTACTTAGCTATTAAAGAGTTAGATAGTTGAGATTGAATTTCATCCAAAGGACTTAAGTCTTTAGGTAGATAGCATCTTCTTAACTTTATATATTACTCATTTTGTATTTAATTATTCAATATAGGATATGTTCTCTAACACTCGCTCTCACTTGCAACCTATTTTTTAGATCTTTCAAGTTGCTTAGGCTCTAAAGGCCTAACGACCTCTTTAAGGCTCTAATACTATATAAATTTCAATAGTTGAGATTAAGGTCGCTAAGGTCAATAATGAGATTGAGATCCTATTTTGCAGTGGCGTTGTCACTTATATGTTTAGAAT